CATGGCAATTGAAGCCTCTGATTCAATCGTTTTCAGTACCATTAACAAAATGGTCAATGAAAATAATTAAAATGGAAGAAAGTATCTTCTCATCCTTTATCATTAAAACGAATAACTTTCCTACATTGAGAAAATCATATTTAAGAAGACAATATATAAAATTAAATCGATCTTTCTACATAATATTATCGCTTAACAACGCTGGAACCAATTGAAAAAATAACGATTTTGTTAAATTTAACCCTTAAAACTGATGTTAGATATCTAAAGATAATAAATCTGCAATAACAAATATTTATTATATTCTTTTAAAAATATATGTATTATTTTAGTTGTTTGTCCTCAACCTACGTGAAACAAATTCCAGTTTAAATAATAACATTTTCAAATAAAGAAAAAGCTATCAATTTAGCTTTTCGATATTTGACACTTTAGTTATGGGGGTCCTTTCAACGCTGCAGGTCCAACTAAACTACTTATATATTTAATTAGCAATCTGAATTATGCATTGCCCCAAAGATAACCTTAGCATGCAAATTTAAAAACTTCAAAAATTCATCAAATTACGAGTAATCATCAATAAAGTTACGAAGATATGTGTGTATTTGGACTTGTCTACGTACGCCAGTGTGAAAACAATTCCAGTCGAAGAATCAACTGTTGAAATACGTGTAGTTTGTTCACATTGACTTACAAATAATATTACTTGGAAAATGAAATTTTAATATTTGTGTTTCAATGAAAATAGCTAACTTCCTAACTTTACTAACCTTTCTGCAAAGTCGAAGCCTCAGTTATATGTCGTTGTTAGGGATATAAACCAAAGTTAATCAACAAAAATAACTAACCAGTTCCTAATGCGGGATTAAAATAAAAATATTTTATTAAAAAAATACACTCATTTTATAATTTTTAATAAAAATTATTATCTATTAATTTATTAAACAGAACACTAGTTAGTAACTAAGACTATTTAATTTTTATTAACAAATTAATTATATTATAATTTGAATTTAATCATTATTTAAATTTTTGTCACCCTAGATACTGCTTTATTCAAATAAGATTATCTTCTGTGAAATATATTTATTGTTTCAACGATGAGAAAAAATATTTTTAATTCCATAATTTTCTTTTCCATTTATCTGGTCAAAATTAGCAGGCGATGAGGATATCTTTTATCTTGCTATGAAAGGAGCACTTTTGAATTCAGCGCCTAGTGTTCTATAAGGATTAGGATCCTTTGTAGTTTTCTTTGTTTAGAAAAACCGTACATCATTTGAGCTCTTAGAACAATTTACTTCTATAGTAAAACACTGAAGTAATTTTTTATTAAGAAATTGTAAGTCTTCAAATAATTAGCTACACAAGATATATAGTATAGTTTGTTTAATAACTTTAGGAGATTCATGTCGGTTCTGCATGCACTGAGTTAAGAGATACATGCTGTCCTTCAGCTTTTAAACACTGTTAAACAACCATGGTCATTTAATATTAAGCTTCTAGACAATACGTAATTGATGAACTTACATGCATGGAAATGAAAACAACAAAAAGAAAAATTAATGTAACTCATAACATAACAAATACTTAGGTGTAAATTGATAATCTAAATGCAAACCAAAAAAAAAAAAAAAGAAAGCTAATAATAGATCTAAAGTAAAACTTTGTTCTTGAATAGAATTGCAGATTAGAGAATGGGTTGTTACTAAACCTTATTAATAGTTAAAGGACAATATACATGTGAAATAAAACCTCCCCTAATGGTGTAGGGTGTTAGGTGAAAATGATAATTTGTTAAGGGATTGAAGTTTTAAGTTATTTAATATAAATATAATCTTAATATAAATTTAATTAAGTTATTTATTTAAATATACTCTTAAGTTAATTTGAATTTGCGAAAAGTAGCTTTATTCATATTTTTTTTGCATATTATTTTATTTGTTTTCAATTACAACTGTATATTGAAAATTTTCAACATAACCTCTAATAGAAAAGTCAAGTTCACTTTAGTCTCCACACATAAAGTAATGTTTTCAAGTATAAAAAAATGAGGAAAAAAAATGATAGAAATGATAGGAGAGAGTAAGTATAATGATAATTATTTCAAATTATTTCTAATTATTGAGAATATAACATTAGAAAGAATTCATATTAAAATTAAAACCCTTGTAGAGGAATGATTCCATTGGGCAAGCAGAATCCATGATAAGAGAGAGAGAGAGAGAGAGAGAGAGAGAGAGAGAGAGAGAGAGAGAGAGAGAGAGAGAGAGAGAGAGAGAGAGAGAGAGAAGAGAAACCAAATTCTCATAATTCCAATTTCACCTACTCACATAGGATCAATTAAGTGACGTAGCTACAAAGGATATGTTGCATTGTAGGGCCTTTGTCGTGACTCAATAATGTTTTTCCAAAGATTTAAAGAAAACAGAGAAGCCAAGGCCATCAAATTGAATACATTGTCCAAATTCTTTTTTTATATTCATTTTATGCATTATCACCAATAATAGCTCCATCTCCTTGGATTATCATTTTATCACTGCACCATTGAAATTCATCCAAATTACTTTGTTCTCAAGAGCTTCAAAACTAATTTAATTAAGACCAGAATAGCGATTAGTCTCACATTTAAAACATTTTATGTGTATAGTTAATTAGTTTATTTTAACTTGACATAGATACGAAAAACGAGTGGAACAAGAAGACTATTATATATGAAGAGGGATGGCAATTATTACTTATTTATATAATTGATAATTCAATCATACACTTAGCTGTGCTTGATATCCATTTATTATTATTTTAATAGTTTTATTTATTTTAACTTGTCTGCGTAGTTAGGTGAACATTGATTGTTAATTATTTAAATTTTACAATTGATATTGGCTGCAGTTGATTTTGAAGTAAAACACGTACACAGGAACTATTATCTCAAAACAATTTTTAACAAAATATAAAACTTTAAATTCAATACCGTCGCTATAAATGTGCTACCTTCCATCATCACTATTCTACTCAGCACTTATGAATGCCAAACATCATACAATGAAAAAATTATGATCGTTAATGACGATTAAGAACAAAATGTTGTGTTATAGCTTAATTGATTACGTTTTGCTGGAAAGCTTTATGCTATGTTTCAACGTGGAGCAGACACACCTAGTATTTTATTCTATTTAACTAGCACTAACACAAAATAGTACATATAATCTTCTTTCGTTATTAGAGTTGAATTTATATTATAATTAAATTCGTGGAAATGCAAGTCCTTTTTATAGAAGTTGTTTTCAAGCTATTTTCATCACCAAAGTCATCCGAATAATTCTTCACATGGCTCAATTTAATTAATTTGCAGATATTGCCAAATAAAAACTGTACGAATAGATAACAACATTTATCTATTTCACAATACAAGTTCAAAGAACCAAAATCAACTTGTTTGACAGCTTGACTTGAATGCACAAGCAATTTTTACGAAAACGATTTAAAAAAAAGAAAATATTTTTAAGATACAATATATTACTTTTGAATATGGTTAAGATATTTTTATAAGATTTGAGTAATTTATCTCATTTGAATTAATTAGGTTTTGAAAGTAAATTAATATTTATTTATTTAATACTAGTGTATATATAGTAAATTACTCGTGATTATTTTATAATTTTATAAAATAAATAAATAAGAATAGAATGAGTAATGTATTAAAAGCCATATATTATAAAAGATGTTATTAAAAATATACCGTAGGAGTATGATAATTTAAATTTTTTTATTATAATACTTTGAGAAAAGTTAAGAATTTTTACGAAATAAATACGTTCTATCATAAATTTATATTAAACACTTGACAAAACTTTTTTTAAGTCAATTGATAGTATTTTAAAAATATTTGACAATTTTAAATAAAATTTTAGTTTTTATGAAAGGTGTTAGATTTACAATTAACTTTTAAAAAGTTTTGTTAGAATTTAGTCTTTATTAAATTTAAAAATAATAAATTAAGCCTTACCAATATTTATCCTGATCTATTAAATGTTAAATGTTGAATTAATTATCAAAGTTTCTACTTAATATCATACATATCATATATTCAGTTTACCTTTATTATAATTAACACGCAACTGTAAAAAAAGAAAAATGGATGCTTACATGTGGTTGTACAAATTTCTTAAATATTTTTTAGCATTTTTTTCTTTCATTTGGTCCCAGTACATGAATTCATTTTATTTTTTTTTACACAACTTACTTAAAAACAATCATAGCAGGAAACTCTCTTACCAACTTATGTTAACTTTGACCAAGTTTTTATATGGTCATTAGAATTTACAGGTAGTATCACTATTGTAATAACTGTGTGTTAGTCTTAGGATAAGGAGATAATAGGTATTTAATGTGACAATGTTAAGTTGTTGAAATTTTTTCAATCATCAATTCAACACTTAGCACACATAAATTAACAGTAAAGATTAACTTTTTACTTGATCGAATAAACACTAAATTTTAAAAAAATAATTAGAGACTAATTGAAATTATAATAACTTTTTTTAGCCAAAAATTGATTTATGTCTCTATTTTAAATATTATGTATTAATTATGACAAGTGTCTGTTATGTATTTAACACATGATAAACATTAAATTAAAACACCATTAATCAACTAGTACTTAATTGATAGAAAATAACGAGAGATTATATATATATATATATATATATATATATATATATATATATATATACCGACAAATATGTCAGTACCTCAATGGCCATGATGCAAGTATCTGTCGTTATTGGTCCAAATCTAGAGTTGAGTCCACAAATGTTAAACGTGGACCAGTTCGAAATGGAGTATGTGAAGTTTCTATGCACTGTAAAATGATGACTATATTTAGTGTAGTGAAAAACATAATAAATAAATTAGATAATGATATAAGCAGTCGGATTATAACATTTATAATTATTTTTAAATCAAATTTTAGTCGTTGAAGATAGTACTCTAATAAGAATAATGAAGAATTTCTCAATAACCAAAAAGAGTAATAAAGAACATAATTGTTTTTTTATTTATTATTGAATTGGCTTCACCCTCTTGCAAACGCAGCAGGTTGCAAACCAAAATGCATTCATTCAATATTCAACGACAGTAGAGCAAAGCAGTGCCTTACAACTGTCTAAATACACAATAATAAGTCATAAACAATACAAAGAAAGTGAAAAGAAATGACACTTCTTTCTTCTATAAGACAAAGCGAGCGGAAACTTTGCTTCCGGTTGTTTTTCTTGTACAATTGTGAAGTGCATCTTCTTGCTATCGACAGCATTCTTTATTCGCGCATATTCTTGAAAACCTCCAAAAGTACACACATATGGATAAATAATTATTAGCATATCAGTCCCTGTCATTAATTTCGCTCAGTAATAAAAATAAATGAGAAAATGATTATGCCTTAAATAATTTTACAGCCTAAAATACTGTTAGTAGGCTACGGCAAAACCTCTTCTGTAAAGAGAAATTGTCTCGTTTAATTTTCGATAGTTTTTAAAATTATATACTCTATATGTATAATGATTAAAATAAATGAAAAATAAAAATAGTTATATATAATGTCAATTATTTAGTGTTCAAATAATGAAACTGAAATTATTAAACAAAGCTTTGGAAACAAAAAAAAAGAGCTAAGAACTTTTAATTTACATGTGATTTTGATTTTTTTAATATTAACTATTCATATTATTTTATAATTTTTTAATCTTTAAAATAAAGTATCTTATTATTTTAGTGGATCTTGCTAAAAAAGAGCATTGGTATAAGTTTAGTCTGTGTGAGAGAGAGATGAGAGATTTAAGTTAAAAAAAATTTAAAAAAATATGTGACTAATTAAAATTAAAAAAATAAGATATAAAAAAATAAAAATATATTTAAAAATTTCCAAAAAAAAAAACTAGTTTTACTCTATGAAACAAAATAGAAGAATGATAGTTGCATACTACTGATTTCATTATTAGTTTATTTCGTAAAAGGTCAACGTAGTCTGAGTAGTTAGTTAATGAGTTGCATTATTGCATGTGCCAAATATGTAGAGTATTTAAACAAAAGTTTATACAAATATCATTCTTATGATAATGTAGGTTGTATGAAGGAGCTTACCATGTGAGAAGCTATGCTAAATCACTATCTAGTAGTGATATGGGGGAGGAGGAGATGCATAGATGTAATGTGGTGGAGGAGGGGGTGAAGAATAGACATAGTGTGGTGGATGCACTGGAGGAGGAGGAGACTTATACTTGTAAACTGGGGGTGGAGGAGATGGGTACTTGTATGGCTTCTTTGGTGGTGGAGGAGGAGATTTGTACTTGTAAGTTGGTGGTGGAGGAGATTTGTACTTATACACAGGGGGTGGAGGAGATGAGTATTTGTATGGCTTCGTTGGTGGAGGTGAAGACTTGTACTTGTACACTGGTGGTGGTGGAGAGTTGTATTTGTAAACTGGGGGTGGTGGTGATGGATACTTGTATGGCGGTGGTGGAGGAGATGGGTACTTGTATGGTGGAGGAGGGGACTTGTACTTGTAAACTGGTGGTGGTGGAGAATTATACTTGTAAACTGGGGGTGGTGGTGATGGGTACTTGTATGGTGGTGGAGGAGACTTGTACTTGTACACTGGTGGTGGTGGAGAATTATACTTGTAAACTGGGGGTGGTGGTGATGGGTACTTGTATGGTGGTGGAAGAGGAGAAGGGTACTTGTATGGTGGAGGAGGAGACTTGTACTTGTACACTGGTGGTGGTGGAGAATTATACTTGTAAACTGGGGGTGGTGGTGATGGGTACTTGTATGGTGGAGGTGGAGGAGAAGGGTACTTGTATGGTGGAGGGGGAGACTTATACTTGTACACTGGTGGTGGTGGAGAATTATACTTGTAAACTGGGGGTGGTGGTGATGGGTACTTGTATGGTGGAGGAGGAGACTTGTACTTGTACACTGGTGGTGGTGGAGAAGGGTACTTGTATGGCTTCTTTGGTGGAGGAGGAGACTTGTATTTGTAAACTGGGGGTGGTGGAGACTTATACTTGTAAACTGGGGGTGGTGGAGAGTTGTATTTGTAAACTGGAGGTGGTGGTGATGGGTACTTGTATGGTGGTGGTGGAGGAGAAGGGTACTTGTATGGTGGGGGAGGGGACTTGTATTTGTACACTGGTGGTGGTGGAGAAGGGTACTTGTATGGCTTCTTTGGTGGAGGAGGAGAGTTGTATTTGTACACTGGGGGTGGTGGAGATGGATATTTGTATGGTGGAGGTGGGGGAGATGGGTACTTATAGGGAGGAGGGGGAGATTTGTATTTGTACACTGGTGGTGGAGGAGATGAGTACTTGTATGGCTTCTTTGGAGGTGGTGGTGGAGAGTGGTAGTAATAAGGAGGAGGAGGTGAGTGCACTGGGGGTGGTGGAGAGTGGTAGTAGTAAGGCTTAGGTGGTGGAGGTGGAGATGAATAGATGTAGTTGTTTGCTGATGTTTGAGATGGCAAGGTGAGAGAGATTATCGTTAATGCAAGAGTGAGAGTAATAGAGGCCATTAGAGACCCCATCTTTCCTCAACTTTCACTTTAAAGTGGGTTTTGGTAATGCCATTAGGAAAGGTAGTGCCACCCTTTATATAGCTTCTTTGTTTTACCCACATTGTAACACCGGCTATTCATCTTGGTTGCTGTAGTTTGACTTGATTTCTTAAATTCACCCTCATTAAAAATTATTAGCTATAGAGGTTTTTGGACCAATGCAATCCAAGTGGGTAGTGGAACGCGGATTTGGACTTGACAGAGACAACAAACTATGAATGATGAATTATAAATAACGAAATAAATTAACTAACTAATTAGCTGGAAATGTTGATTGACACAGCCCTTATTTTCTTTATAAGAAGCACCAACCATTATTTTATTTTATTTTTTCTTTGTATGAAAATTCCCTTACTATTAAAAAATTAACAAATGCATATAGACATTGTTAAATTATTGGGTATTTGATGTAATTTATTTGTCCTCTCTCTTCTTCATCTTTAATTTTGTACCAAACATTAAAAACTCAGTATGGTGGCCTAAGTTGTTTCTCCCCTTCTTGTACCGCAACTGGGACCATGGCTGCTATAATGAAGTTCATATCTCAATTTTTTCACTTTTGATAAATTGGTATATCTTTGGAGGCTAAAACTAATATGTACACATTGCATGTTATTGTTTTGGCTGCCGATATGGCAGATAAAGACAAGCGTAGCGAGATTTGTTTACTTTTGAGCATTCTAGTATTTTACGTAAATATTATCAATATTTTTATTTTTTTATTTTTATGACATTGGCTCATTTATTATGTCTTTTATTTTTTTCATTTTAGGTATATACACCTCTTTAAAGGTCTAAAAGACATTTTTTAAAATATAGATAAACTGAAACTTGTTCTCAAATTGTCTGTGACTTTCAACTAATTGCATACCTCAGCTATATATTTATCTAGCATGTGAACTATACATAACTGTGTTTTCATAATATTTTTGAATAGTTTAACCAATAATTTAAGAATTTTATTCACATGCATAGCACATTATATGAATGGAATAACACACACGCATATACATATCTGATGTTTATTATAATTTGACCAATAAATTTAAAGAAATTTGCTAACATGGAGAGCACGTTCATGTCCACAGGGAAACATATACAAACCTGTTAAATATAAATGCAAAACAGTTCATCATCAGCATCTGCATATTATTGTCATTTCATATACAGTAATGTTCACATACACATATAATTGATATACGTTATTTCTTAATTTTTTTAAAAATAAATAAATTATGTATGTATCGTACTAAATAGTTTCCTAATTTATATTTTTAAGATTTTACCTATATTTATTTTATAATTTCATATATATTCTATCAAAAAAAATAATCTTTAAAGATATTTGTGGGGAGGGAGGGAACAGAGTGTTTCTATGCTTAATCGAAGCATATATCATTTGTTTGATTAAAAGAAGAGTATACTTTATTTCGGTGATCCCTACATTTTGAAAGGCGTAAATTTCTAGCTATTGAGTGGAAGATAGCGTTGATTATTAAAAGGAAGGTAAGAAAATTAAAATAAAAGACTCGTATAGTATGCGATCATACTTTATTCTTTATGTTTTACTAATAATCATAAAATGTTACTTTACTTTTATTTTAAAAAAACACTTTTTAACTTATAATTAACATAAGAAATAAAATGCTATTTTTTCTTGAAATCAAATAAGCTTTATTTCTCTCTATTACTTTTCTAAACTAGAAATAAAAAATCTACTCATGTAAAAATCTACTTACATATGTCACTTGTAATAAACTATCCATTGATCTAATTTTTTATACCCTAACTAATTAAATTAGGAGTATCGTTGAAAGTTTACATTTTGTCCCTATTCAGTAGATTAGGCACATAGCTAGGTCAAATGAATATATTGACGTACAACAATAGAATTTTGACTTACTATATTGCTTTTGGTGATTTATTTTACTTTATTTATAATTGATGTAAGGGTAAGGTAAACATTTTAATGGAAAAAAAAATCTTTAGCTTTCAGGTTCTGCTCTGCCACTGCCTTTCCTTTTTTGACCGTCTATCATTGACGCATGCTATATTTTTTCATACGTTAGACTCGTGCCCTTAGACTCATACGTTTGTAAGAGATAAAAATAAAAATAAAACATTTTTAATTCAAAATAATTTTTGAAAAATTTTATTTAGTCTTTAAAATTTAAGAGAGATGAATTAATTTCAATTTATAAGAAAATTATTTATTTTTAAAATACTTTTTTAGATATTTATCTAAATTAAACCTTTATATCTCATATTAAATCTAATTTTATGCACTATCAGTATTCTAATTAAATTAACAGAACGAAAAGAAGAATGACCCAACAAAAGATCAACAGAGTTAAAGTAATAGTAAATTTGTGTTGACCATTTCGAAGGTAACAATAATATTTGAGACCACATTTTCATCATAAATGAAGTGGAAATGATTTAACGATTTATTTACTTAACTATTTATTCATGTAATTTTGTCAAAAGACAATTTGATTGGTCAATTTATTTTTAAAGTAATTTTCATACTATAGAGCAGTTCTCGTAAAATTGATTTATTTCAAACTTAATTTTTCAGAGCCCACTTTTAACAATTTCAAAGATAAGAAAATAAAAACATATGGAAACACTTAAGCTGTATTGTAATGTGCCAACATGTAGGCATGTTAGGATGTCAAAAAAGGTTGATAAATAATGAAATGATTTAAAAAGAATGAACTAAAGAAGAAGAATGGTAGGGTAGTTAGCATGTGAATATGGAGAATGATGAATGATGATGTCTGCGGGAGGGGTATAGAGTCCACAAGAGGCTACGCATCTTAAAACGGTACGATTTGGCTTTGGCTAGCTCTTTGCAATGGCATTGAGAAAAGTCAATATCTGAGGTAATGTTCATATGGAACAGGTCTATTTTAGAGGTGACGTTCCTATGAAGCTATCAATATGTTACTCTTTAAATTTTTTTATTTTTAAAATTTTAAAAAATAGATGGCCCACCTCGTCTCGTCTTAATATTACTAAACGGCCCTTGGTGTTCTGAACCACTAATATTTAAGGTCTGATTATTAGTTTTACTATTTAAAAGGTAAAATAAAGTTTTAAATAATTCTTTTGTTGTTTCCAAAATTTTATTTAAAACCTTTATTTTACTTTTTAAGATCACAAAATAAGCATTCAAAACTAGTTATAAATTATTTTAAGAAATGTTGTATAAAAATATTTTAAAATTTTTTATAGTTATATTTACTTATTAATATTGATATAATGGAAGCTGATAAATAAATAAATAAAATAATAAATATAATAAATAAAAAATTAAGTAATCACATATATAATAAAATTATCCAGATAGATGGACGTGTTGATATTTGCTGCAAATTTTGTCCACTCAGGGATAAATAAATATTGGTAGCAAAAGTTGGATGAATGTTTCTGAAGAATTGGAAACCATGCAACTGTAAGGGACTTTTTCCGAATTATTTTTCTATAAATTTTAAAAGAAAATAATAACATGTTAAATTTAATTAAATAAAAATTCAAATTAAATGTAAATTTTTTTTAATTTACACTAATGTAAAAAATTATATCTCTATTTTAAAATATTAATTATTTTTTTTATTTATTTATAAAATTTTAAATCTAAAGTATATAAAGAAGTCCAAGTTTTAATTTCTTTAAACGAACATTTGAAAACTCATTTAATCGAAGATATTAATTGTAATAATTTTGTATTATTGAATGTGAAGCTGTAAGTAACCTTGCAAGAAAGAAAGGAACATACATAATCTTTTAGGGTACGTAAAACCTAATCATAGCATATGTACGGCAAGTAGAATTAAATCACACATAAAATAACTTTCTAGAACATATATAGAATAGAAGGTACACATTTTAAAAGTATGCAAATCTTTTTGCAGCTTTTACTTAGCCAAAGTGTTTAGGTGAATTGAATGTCTTTATCCTTTCATTATTTTCAAATTTAAATAACAAATTGCTTACGAAATTTTGTTACAACTTAGCTGGAGAACATGATAAGCTACCAACTACGAAATTGCGCGTACGTGTAACTTTTTTCTTCTGTTTTTGTTTACTGTCCAATCATCAATGAGAGCCAAACCTGCAATTGGCAACTATAAAGTATAAAATTACTCATTATTAAGGTCGTTTTATTTGTGATTATTGCCTTAGAATCAATCATCCCTATGATATTATTTTTAAATGAATATATGAATTGTTTTTTATTTATAATTAACAAGACAAAAAAGACTTGGATCAAGGATCCTATATAGAACAAAAATAGATAGGACGTGTTAACGAACATAAAGTAGGTGTAATTAAACAAAGGAGTTACGTTATTAATATCCTTATAATATAATTTATAATATTTTATTATAATTCAATTTTCTCCCAATTTTTTTATTTATATGTCTATCTTTATTCCACAAATCTGTGCTCCTGTTGTAGGTCAAAATGGAACATAATTAATGAGGGCCAAGATGATTAAAGTCTTAAATTTGTTAAGGATAAACTTGAGTAAAATAATAGAAGTAGTTTTAATGTTACTTTCAAATAAAATTAAAGTTTTATTTTACTAATCGATGTCAACTTCTATGGTATAAAATATAAGATATAATTTAATTAAAAAAATAACACTATATATACTTATAATAGTACACTTAATTTTTTTTCTTTTACAAAATATTAAATTTGTACAGCTCTCGTTTTATAATTTTGCAAATACTAACCATGATTATTAACAGTGAAAAGAATTTATAAAAAAAATATTTTTAATAATTTTTTTAACATGTTTTGAATAATATCTTTAGAAACTCATCAATAAAACATTATAATTTTAGGGTCAAACAAATATTTTACCTAGGTTACCGACAAAGAAATGATACCTTAAGACTTTCACATTCTAGCTAGCCATACAGCAACATCATCATGAACAGGATCTGATTCCCACAATTTGATTAAGTGGATTAATTTAAGAAATAGCATGCT